CTGATTAAAGATTTACATGCTGGTATTAGTAGACACTCAGCTTCTATCACCGGCATAAAAGCGATGGTGGCGCAGTGTTGCAGACTTCTGATGAAATGCATTGCATTTAAAATGCTCCTTAAAAGACAAAAAATGCGGATGTATGTAAATGACTGCAGAATATATGTAACTATGTGTAAATATGCACTCGTCACTCGTCTTGTCTTGTGACTTGATGTGACTCTGACGCCCTCTAATTGTTCCTTTGTCTGTTCCTTTGTCTATGTCCCTTTGTTCTGTCTTCCCGCGTCTTTGTCATGTGACTTCACATTATAAAAGGCATTGGCGCCGTATTTTCAAATAGTGCTGAAGTTGCTGTTCGTCTGTCTGTTTCTATGTGGTAAGTTGGATGTCGTCTAGTTAAGTCTAGTTATATTTTATCTTGTCTTTTGCGTATCCAACTCCACTATACTATACTGTATTACATCGTTTTCTACTCTTTAGTTTTCAGACCAAGCCGTATTGGTATATCCAGCACTCTTTCTAAACGCCCTTGAATAAGATCAGGGTAAGCCGTTATATGGCAGTATCATTTGACTATAAGTATGTTGTACATCCATACATGGGTGTTAGAGTGAAGATTTCAGTACTACGNTAAAAAAACTGGACCCAGCCATAATGTTCGCCATTCTTTTGACCGGATTAGCTGTCATGCTTATGAGTGACAGTGGTTCCGCATTAGTAATACGGGATAATAAGGTATACAGCGTAATATACATGGCGACCTTATAAAGATTACGTTTGTCTGAAAATGATGATATTTGCATGTGTGGTAAACATTATGACCACAAAGGGAACGTGTCATTTGATCATACATGACAAATCTTTTTCTGGCACGATACTTGCTAATGAATGTTAGTCTTAAAAAAAATATATCAAAGAAGTTATCACAAATTGTAATGGAAATATATAGATTTATTATAAATGAAGAAATTACTTGTGTGATGTGTAGCCTTGTTGAATACAAAATATGAGCGTAATAAACCAATCGCAAACCATGCGTATTTCCTTGATTGAAAAAATATCATCGTAAATTTTGTCTTCTTTAGGTCCCTGGTGATGCCGAAAGACCACGTGACATGTGGGCAATTAAATGGGCATCCTTCATTGGGCACATGGACGTAAACGGAGATGGAAAGATGGATAAAAACGAATACATAAATATGACAGCAGCGAGAGTAGGAGCAATTACAAAGTCAGCCGAGAAGGAAGAAAAAGTTAAAGCTTACCTGCAAGAAGATTGGGACGAGTGGTGGGAGGGTTTTATGAACGACACAAATTTAGATAGTATTTCAGCAGACGACTTTATCTCAACCGAGACTGAAACAAGAAAGAAAATGGAAGATAATGATCACATTGTTATGGAAGTTAAGTGGATTCTCACGTTCTTTGAGGTGGTGGATGCAGATGAAAATGACTCTCTGAACAAGACGGAGTATGCCAATTTTCTCAAGATTTTCCGTGCTCCATTTTATTCCAATATTTTTTCTGAAATTGATACCGACGGCAACGGTGCTTTAAGCAAAAATGAAATGATTACAAATGATTTCTCCTGGACAAAAGGTAACAATTTGAAGGGCGTAGATATGTACGGTAAAATCTTATAATGTCATATGTTACCATTCTTCCCAGGTGACGATGTCCCGAATTAAATAGAAACATTATAAAACAGAAGTAATCAGAGTGCTACATGCGTCTTTTTTTTACTACAAAGATGAAATAAAATTTTCAAAAAGTGGTCTCAGCTAAAATCATTTTAATAAAAGTTAACATGTTGAACTTTGGAAATATTGAAAGTGCGGCCGACCAACACTAAAGGAAATCTGCTGGTCCTGCCAATCCTATGCTGGTCCGAACTAAGTATTGAATTTTGCGTTTATCTGTGTTTTCATGCGATTTGTTTCTATTTTCACAAAAATCTTGCCAGTTCAGAGGACCTGCAATACCAATAATTTACACGTCCTCCGGCATTGCAGGCTGTATTGACATAACGGACACTGTGGACCTTTCTGGGTTTGAACCCGAATTGCACCCACATTTAACTTTATGAACTTTTCTTACGGCAATATTTTGCTAGCCACATTAGGTTATCCCCCCTCCTGTGCGTGGGTCTCAGTGACAATCTGTAGATATTAACAACTATGTTTAAACTGTTAATATGCTGCAGACTCGCATGTGGATTACAGCATTGCCACTACATTAGTACTATTTTAAATGAGGATTAAATATGACGTGAATCGCCATCCAAGAATGGATTTGTACTGCAATGAACCTGAACAGGAATACTAGATGTGAGAACATCTACGCTGAATTTATGAAAAATTAGAGATGGCGACGAACAGTTTGAATGGATTTGGCACTAATATTTATAAAAATACGAAGACGCACTGAATGAATATTAATGTTTTGCCGTCATGTTGGCCAAGAAATACATTATATTTTCTTTCTGTATCATAATAATGGGAATGGGAAACTGAATGATGTTTACATCACACATCTGATTAAAGATTTACATGCTGGTATTAGTAGACACTCAGCTTCTATCACCGGCATAAAAGCGATGGTGGCGCAGTGTTGCAGACTTCTGATGAAATGCATTGCATTTAAAATGCTCCTTAAAAGACAAAAAATGCGGATGTATGTAAATGACTGCAGAATATATGTAACTATGTGTAAATATGCACTCGTCACTCGTCTTGTCTTGTGACTTGATGTGACTCTGACGCCCTCTAATTGTTCCTTTGTCTGTTCCTTTGTCTATGTCCCTTTGTTCTGTCTTCCCGCGTCTTTGTCATGTGACTTCACATTATAAAAGGCATTGGCGCCGTATTTTCAAATAGTGCTGAAGTTGCTGTTCGTCTGTCTGTTTCTATGTGGTAAGTTGGATGTCGTCTAGTTAAGTCTAGTTATATTTTATCTTGTCTTTTGCGTATCCAACTCCACTATACTATACTGTATTACATCGTTTTGTACTCTTTAGTTTTCAGACCAAGCCGTATTGGTATATCCAGCACTCTTTCTAAACGCCCTTGAATAAGATCAGGGTAAGCCGTTATAGCCTTTATAAACCGTAGTTATCTATATCAAATTTATTATTTCCTTATCATAGAGGTAAACTATAGAATTATAAGTTATTTGTATGTCATTTTATCTAATTATATATCACCTTTATTACAGGGTGAAAATTTTAGTTATAGCAATAAAGTCATTTTACACAACCAGAGAGTCCGTCTGTTACATATATAACAATCCTTACTATATTAAATTATGTTTAGAGTGAAAATTGAAAATATAAGGAGTGCAATAATATTATATAATAAACAACATGTACCTGAAGGATGGATGTTTATTGTCTTGTTCTTGACATACAATATATCTTCTAATGAAGATCGTGTGTACATTCTTTGTCTTAATTAAGTACATATGGCGTTCAAGCCCTGCTTGGTTATTTACTGCAGTACCACAGTTAGTTCAAACCTCTATTCGCTGACTGACTTTTAAAAAAGACATTGTTTCCATCGCCGCATGATAAATTTATTAAAACACATATTGATTTTGAACTTTAAAATTAGGAACCATTAAGTAGTAGAACACAATTTGATTTTTTCCATTACTTCTAAGAGTGCTGTTATGTTTCCCGCTATGTCTATGTACAGAGGGTTGACAAAAGTATGGTACCATTTTGTTTAAAGCTGGATTTCGTAGTTTTTTCAATAAGTATTTCATTGAAAACAGGTTATGTCCAGTCAGTATCTTGACTACAGGTATAAAACCAGTGTTTTGACCTTAATTAATGCATGTTGTTATGTCAATATTGGTATTTTGCAAGATATCTCAAAATGGCCACCATATTCCTTCACCAAAGATCTATTTTACATATGGTAAAGGTGCTGGTCCAGAATTTCAGTGTGGCGCTCGAGGTTCAGGTTTCCATGCATCACCTCAGTTCACCAATTTCTTAGAGTGCATTCCCACAGATTAAGATCGATCCACTGAATCGACCTAACGCCCTGGGGGTTCACGCTAAATTGCTCTCAGACGAGCGCGCACTGTAGTTAATTTCCCCCTTACAATTTTTAGTAGGCGGGACACACATTTAAGCCAGCTAATCTGACACCAATCTAGTGAGACTCCCCACGGGGATAGATCGATCTAAGAAACCAAATCACCCCTTAACAATTAATGAAGTGGACTGCCTAGCGAGGTATGCATATTCTCTGAAAGACATGAAATGAATGATGTTCTCCATACTTTCACCTGTCCACTCTTGTTGACAGAATTGGATGTGGGCTTATCAGAAAATACAAAATGGCGCCAGTCCTGACTTGCGGTCCATGGTATGGTTGCTGCAGCCCCTACCACTCTTCTTCATCTGTTACTAAGATGATAAGGGGTTTCCTCTGGCAACCCTGGTTTGAATTTATTTAGCATGGGCCTTTCTTGAATAGTTATTTTGCTAACCTCAATCCACAATTTTAGCGATCGCTGCAAAGCTAATTCTCTACACGATCTCCTGCGACTTGACGGGATAAAATACAGTCATCTTCGGACGGCTACTTCATTTTGACTTATGGTTTCACCAGTGTCCTCCATCCTTCTGTAAACCTTACATACTGTCTGGCCTCTCTGAAGAAAATCTATAGTATCCTCCCTCAGAGATACCATTCCTTTTCTCCCTTTACTTGTGAACTCCCGCACATTCATCATGGTAGAAACTTGACAGCCAGAAGGGCGTTACACTTTCAATGAAACCTTATATAATGCATATGGAAGAAGAATAACCACCGGTTAAAAGAACAATAAATACTGCGGATCACTTTTTTATGAACGGGTTCCCAACGTCACAACGCACTATTTACACAGATGGTGAAATACTTTTGTCACCCTCTGTATATTATTTGCAACACACATTCCAATAGAATAAATACATCTGATTGGCTGGTTGCCCACTAATCGTGCAACTTACTGCCGACTGAATCATTGCATCATTTGTAACTGTCAAGGTAAGGTGTTGAGGTATTTTAGTGTAGCACATTATTTAAACTTAGCGTAAAACCTATCGTAATTTAATTCTATAGGCGCTATGGTAACAGCATAGTATGTTGTTATGTTATCTGTTGTGGTATGTTGTCATCTGCCATAGTACTCTGGCATGTTTTGATTTCATTTTGTTTCATTATGCTTTCTTCAATATGCCGTGTTCGTATCATAGTGTGTTGCCATGTTTTCTGTTATATATGCGGAGATGTTTTCTGTTAGGATATGTTCTTTTGTACTATTTTATGTTGTCATTTTTACTGCTACCGATATGGAATACGTGAAAGAAATCCCAAGACTAGTTCACGTTCAAACTCTTACTTTAGAAAGTGACTTTTATATTCATTACTTCACCAGTATGAATTCGTTTATTTTAGAACATGTCTATTGGATTCGTGACAATCCTAGTAACTGTGTGTTTGCTCGTCATTGTTAGAAGAGTTGGCGCTGTCTGTTGCCCTCGGATTGTGTATGGTTATTGCGGGGACTGTAGTTTTGTAAGTTTTATTTATGAAGACAGTTTGACAACAATAATGGGAGGTACGCTTACGCTGATGATAACATAAACACAAAACACACTTTTGTTACCCCGAAAGATTTCCCGGGAAAATAACACTTTGTCTTTGGAAATCAGGAAACGGGAAGTAAAGGGCTTGGATCTTTAATTTGAACCAACGTATAAAATGGCATTAGAAACATATAAAAATTAACACTGGGAACGGACTGTTATAGTAATTTGAAGCGGGGACCAATTCTTTAAATCGGATTTTCAATTAGTTTCTTTTCAATATACTTCGTTAGAATGCCGGGTTAAAGGTTTTTCCTTTTTTTTTCAGTCATATTATGCTTGTGGAGTTGGGAGCTGTGATCGACTGAAGTGTAACTGTGAAGGAGGATGCAGATCTGGTTGTGCAAAAGTGACAGTTTCAGGATTTTGGACGTAAGAAAGAATATTTTTTTCAACCTACAATCCATTTAATTTGTATGCATTATAAACATTTATTTTAAATTAAATATAAACCGATATGGTGTTATTGAACAAATTCAAATTTAATGAATAAAATATTTAATAAATTAATTATTGAGCACCATTGCTTTCATATTTGTTGAGCAAAAGAAGGAAATCACACTGCTTAGTCAAATGGTCACCAAATTATCTTAATTATTTTCGCTACACATTCTCCCCCGCAAAAATAATAATAATAATAATAATAAAAAAAATAAAAAAACAACATAAATTAAATATAAAAAATACGCATTAGAATCAAATAATGTTCAAGTAACATTATTAAGATAAATACCAAAGGTCATCGTTTTTACGAGAAATTATCTTTGAACGAACATTGTCTGCTTTCTTTCCTTGCTATAAACATCCCTTGGCAGTATCATTTGACTATAAGTATGTTGTACATCCATACATGGGTGTTAGAGTGAAGAGTTCAGTACTACATGATTTATGGGACTTAAAAACAACTGAAGCGATGCATAAATAAAATAATTTACGACCAAACAATTGAACAAGGTGCAGTCTTAAATCTGTTTTGAAGATTTTGGTCGCATGAGTAACTACAGGCTGTGGTTCTCATGCTGCGTATGTGTAATAAACATTTTTTTCAATGGTAGGAAGAAATGCAATTGCGAAAGTGCACGCAAGAGGTCTGCGGGCATAAGTATGGATTACAGCATTGACGCTAGTGTAGTATTCAGTGACACTGATACAGACAGGTAAGTGATGTAGGTGTGGATTACAGCATTGACGCTAGTGTAGTATTCAGTAACACTGATACAGACAGAGTGAACAGAGTACATGGAGCCAATGCTAACCATAGAGTTACAGGGTATGTAGAGTTCAGTAACAAATGCAAGTGGATTTCCTTCCAAATTCTGATTTGAAAACAATGAATAAGCGTATATACAGTTGCAATTAACCATTAAATATGCTCAATTTCAAAACAGACGATAACCGTTTATCATACTATTCACGGACTTCAGTAGAACTGAACAGCATATTTTAATTACAAACCGTATTATTACAGAAATGAGCAGCTGTCCAGAGATGAATACATTCGTGCTGCAAAGAACCTGAACAGGAATGCAAGATCTGAGGACATCCATGCTGAATTTACTGAGAAAGACAAAAACGGCGACAATATGATCAGCTTGGATGAATTTGACACAAAAATGTGAATGAAACAGGCAAAATTTATTGCCATAAATAACAATGCATTAATTTCATGTATGCCTAAACAAGGATAAAAACCAACTGAGTTTGAAAAGCGTCAGCAAACGTTGTTTTTTTATTTTAATTTACCTTAACTTTAAAAATACTTATTTGATTATTCTAACTATTCTGACCGCATTCTGACAGCATAATTGATATTCCTAGTTTTCCAACTACATTCGATCTGCATTTGAAAGCTAATACACCCGAAATGTGCACAAATCTTTCTAGGCGGATTCAAGCGCATTCTGAGTATTCCAACGGCATTCTTACAAGAATTTAGCTCAAATCGAAATTTCGTCCCGAATTTAGTACGAATTTTGAAAATTCTTAATTCTGGCTGGTTCTGCTTAATTCCGGCTGATTCCGAATAAGTGTGACGCAGCCATAAGAGTGACGGGGGTTGACGGATTGACATATAAGAATGTGTTCGGTTATTTACGCATATCTTCAAGCTTTTTTAATCAATTTAAATTAATAATAACTCAGTTATACATTCCTATTGACAAAAAGAAAAATTATGATAAGGTATGGTAATATGAAAGCAAGACTGAATGATGTTTACATCATACATCTGACTAAAGATTTAAATGCTGGTCATAGTAGACACTCAGCTTCTATCACCGGCATAAAAGGGACGGTGGTGCAGTGTTGAAGACTTCTGATGAAAAGCATTGCATTCAGCAAGCTAAGTAAAAAGAAAAAAAAACATATGACTGTCTGTGAATTACCGCAGAATAAATTTTATTTTTTCGTTAATTAAAATATGTTAAAAGTTAAATGTCAGTGAAGTTTGGAATTATATGGAGCGCAATCTTATTAAATACATCAACTACATGTACCTGAAGGATTGGTATATAGTCTTGTCCTTTGCATCCACTGTGGATCTCGCCACTCTTTACGTCTTTAAGAACATGCAGAAAACACGGATGACTTGATTACAAGACCACATTACCTCAAATGTAAAGAAGACGCTTTGGCATTATTTTTGCATTCTTAAAGTATCATAAAAACTATAAACTTCATATGTTGAGTTGCGGTGATATTAACACAAACATTATTTTCTTAACTTATTGAATGAAGACTTTCAAGCTATTTCATATTTATTGAAAATGTATTGTTATTTTATTAAAACAGACCATTAAGCAGTCTTCCTTGTCGGTAAACCCATCTTCTACACTGCGACACAGCATGGATGTTCAAGGCCTGTTAAATGGGCCTTATAATTATTTAGTAAGTAACAAGATCAGAATAAATCCATTTCAAATTTTGTATTTATTTCTACCTTATTTCCCTTTGAAACTGTTTCAGAGCGTGTTTAACTATTGGTGGTTCAACAAAAGTTTAAGAAAACAAGCAACGTGCTTGTCAAGATATTAGCCATCATAGTCCCCTACCCTCCCTTTTATACATAAACGTATGTCAAGCAAAACGAGACAAAACCAAGTAATATTTCTACCCCTGTGCCTTAGGTTTTACGGGAGAACAGTAAGATTTGCCTAGCATTGAGAAATTTATTCGTTTTCACCACCACCAACCCTCCATACAAAATCCTCGATCTACTAATGAACCTGTCTATCTATGCCTATATGATGTAGTGTATAAGTAAGTTACAAAACACGTTGAGTATGATGCAAGAGACAGTGCCCGTATAATGGCGAAAAAGTAAAACACACGAAGTCTGCATTGTTTCCGGTAAACAGATGTCGCGAACAACAGTCATTTTCAGAGATCATTATCTTTTCTGGTGCCCTGCATTTTCTTTTTCAGTAAGTGAAAAATACATCATTTTTATATTATGTATTGCTTTTAACCCTTGCGAATACACGCGCGTCTAGTGATCTAATAGTTTGATTCTGAATGGTTTCAATTAAGCTAGGAATCAACAGAATATCCGAATTTGATCTTGTCAGTGTTTCGTATGTTTACAAAGTTTTGTACCCCCTCAGTTGAAATATTAGCTAGGTACCTTCTAACGTATTCCAAAATAGAAAATCATAATTATTCTCTGCAACTGCATCACATAACATCCTTAAAAGCATGGCAAGCTATTACACATATTTTCCACGTATTATGTTTTATTGAAGGAATGGGTACATTGATTCGTAAACAAAAGTCTCCGAATAGATGTCAGTAAAAGGAATTCAAAAATAAAGCAAAAGCTATATTCTCCTTCAATTACCACCCTGTCTTTCCTTTTGTTTCAGTGATTATTATTATAATTATTTTATTATTTTTTGCCTTTCGATTTTTATCCTTGAAAATGAATCGGCAAATTTACTTTTGGTTTCGGCTAATTTCAAAATAAAGTCTTTTGCTGATAATAGTGTTCAATCGTTTAAATGTCATTGGAAAAAAAGCCAAGGGTCAATCAAGGGCCCCGTCCCCACGCTTCCCTTATCTCCCGCTATTGAATTACTCTATTTTCCCATAAAAATCTTCCCCTATCTTACCGTTACCTCTAATGAACGACAAATGGTTTATGACCATTTCACTCCTACTTATAGCATCGTTGCTGTTGATATCTACTTCAGAGAAAATCTCTGGAGAAAATGGAGTACGGAAAATCTTGAGGAAATTGGCAAACTCCTTACTACCAAGAATGCCATCTCCGTTTGCATCCACCAACTCAAAGAACGTAAGAGCCCATTTAACTTCCATTTCCAGGTATTGGCTATTAACCATTTTAGCTTGGATTTCTGTCTTGGCTGAGATAAAGTTGTCAGCTGAAATACTTTCTAAATTATCGTCATTCATAAGACCTTTCCACCACTTGTCCCATATTCTCTTCAAATATGCCCTGGTTTTCTCTTCCTTTTCAGTGGACATTGTTATAGCTCCTACTCTCGCAGCAACATCATTAACAAATTCGTCTTCATCCATTTTTCCATCTCCATTAACGTCGAAGTCTTTTAAGGCATGTCTCCATTTGGCTGCCCAAATATCACTTGGTGGCTCTTCTTGTACCTGGACGAGGAACAAGTATTCATCTTATGATTAAGATTCCATCACTTTACACCGTTATGAACGTTCCAATGCGTTTAATCTATTATAATTAAAGTAATAAAACAATATGTTTTTATTGTGTTTACATGCCTTGCTACTCGGTGTTCAGAGCATCACTGTTTACTGCCTATGGCTCACTGTGTTATACTGGTAGTGTGCCGTACTGTAGTAAGCAGTACTGTTTTATGGATCTTATTAGTATTTGTTATTGAATTATAAGCATGAAGCTGAACTGAGAAACAGGCATTCATCATCTTATGATTAAGCTTCTATCAATGTTCAACGTTATTAATGTTCCCATGCTTCTCATCCGTTAAAAATTACTATTTTGTGTTTCTATGTCTAGTAGTTAGTCAGCGCTTTAAGCATCAATGCTAACTAGAAAAGTTTATAAGCGTGAACCTAAACTGCTAACACCGAGCTTAAAATTCAACATTCGTTTAGCCAAATTGGACGTTTTTTTCTAACGTCAAACATCAAATATCACAAATCCGAACACGAGAAACATTACAATAGAAAAAGAACAACTTTGGTAAGTCAGCAGAGGTAATTGTGATACCTTTTTATCCCGTATAACCAGTGTGGAAGCAACGCCACCCGTCAACATGGCAGCAAACACAGTTATCAATAGACTGCAGAACATCATGATTGGGTGTATGTTTTCTTACAGCTGTTATATTCCAAGATCTGAAAAATATCATTTTAAACCTTCGTTATGGTCGTTCACAAAACCATCTCACATTCTCCAATTAATCTAATTAATCAGCGGGCCTATAAACAGCAGTTCATTTGGGGAATCTGAGAGGCCACTCCTCCAACACATGATGACTCCATCAGTTGGGAGAGTGCTATGTGGACATCTTGGACTGTGACCCCCTTTGTTTCAACCGAAGTTTGAAGGTGGGCATTTACATTTGGGCCCAGAGATCTTCAATGACCAAAGACGAGACGGGGAAGGTGCAACCTATGTCACATCTGAGACAGTGTTATAGTGTGTAGTTCTGTAGCAAGTAGTACTGTTTTATGGATCATATTAGTATGTATTAATGATTTGAAAGATCATTACATTTTATCCACAAACTTGAATAAGAAGAAAGTGATTTACCTTGGCTGTCTCAAACAAATTAATGTATTCTGCCGACTCTGTTGATCAGGAAAGAAATAAGAGAAAATTGCGCAATACTTGTTGTATGTTGCAAAATCTTTCCCATCCCATGGTGGTAATTAACATGGGTAAAGGCGTCGGTGATGACCAGACGTTGCATGTTGTTCGATTTTTGTAACATTTCTACACCATTTTGAAATCTTTTTAACATGATTATGTATGTGATAATATATCCAGTTCGGATTTCTGAATATGGCAGGAAAACTGGTCAGAAAAATAACCAGATGGGCTCTCACATGTCCATATACTTCTATACAAAAGAAATGTGACAGTGCTCAAACTGCTTTTTCAGTCAGAATTTGGAACATGATTCATGTCAAAATGAAAGCTGCACACACGCACAGATATACTTTTTGAAGGTGGTCCAGTGTACCCATGCTGAGGCCCACTGCACCTTAGACCGGTTATCATCCGTTCCTGAAACACACATCTACACATGTACACTACATTGAAATAAAATCAATGTACGTGTGGATTGCATTGAATCTTGTCATGAAAATGTCATGAATGGCCCAAAAGAATTGATTCAAAAAGTATCAGAATGATGTTGATAATTTAAGAATTTACTCAAACGTTTTGTGAGCACTATAGGTTCACAGCAAACATACGTATACCTGTCTTTGTATTATTAAAAATACATGTATAATGTGAATTTTACTTTAAGCAATTTCTGATTTGATTTCGAGGAAAAAGAGAAAACCGAGTACGCCAGGCCAAGAATTAAAAGATGTAGTGTGGAACACATATTCCGTATGGCGCGTTGAAAAAAATAAAAATTGAATGAATGTGTGATTAAAAAAAGCCAAACCAGCATTGTTAAGTAAGCCACTGCAGATGTCGTCGACAGAAATGT